CCTGTTTTTTTCCCAAAGTTGACCACTTGTTTAAAAAAAGATCTATGAGACAAACAACCCATGTCAAGTAATGATCAATTTATTATCTGACTTAACGATGAAAGCTGTATAATTATATATGAAATATATATCATCAAACCAATCTGAAATTAATACGCAAAGCATAGAAATTTGACATTATTGGCCCTATGTAAAATATATAATTTTTTTAGCTTCTAAAAAATTCAGAGTTGTGCTAGTTCTTCCAGTAACAGCTTTAGAGAAGATAAAACAAACACACAAACAAAAAATGTCTATGTTCTGCCCTGCTTGGTGTAGCTCAGTGGATTAAGTGCCAGCCTGCAAACCAGAGGGTTCCCAGTTCCATTCCCAGTCAGACCACACACCTGGGTTGCAGGCCTGGTCCCCAGTAGGGGGCTCATGAGAGGCAACCACACATTGAGTTTCTCTCCCTCTCTTTCCCCTCCCCTTTCCCTCTCTCTGAAAACAAATAAATAAAATCTTTTTAAAAAATACCTACGTTCTTAATCCAGCCACGAATATATACAAAAATATTTTACAAACTATTACGCTTTCTATTCTGATGTAGGTAATCTTACAGAATTACATAATTAGGTATATTAACAACACAAGCAAGCCCTGGCTGGCATAGCTCAGTGAATTGAGCGTGGGCTGCAAACCAAAGGGTTATAGGTTCGATTCCCAGTCAGGGCACATGCCTGGGTTGCAAACCAGGTCCCCAGTGGGGGCCATGTGAGAGGCAACCACACATTGATGTTTCTCTCTCTCTCTCTTTCTCCTCCCTTCCCCTCTCTAAAAATAAATAAATAAAATATTTTTAAAAGTGTATTGAAAACAATACAAGTAATCCAAAATTACCTTTCTCCAAACTTAGGAACTTGAAGATTTTTACATGCATTCTGAGACCCGATTTCCTGTCCAACTTTCTCTAGATCAGTCCTTTTCATGGAACCCAGCTCACCAATCACTCCAGCACATGCATTTAAGTAATATCTGGTCATCCCATCAAGGCTCAGACCATTATTTTTCGAAGATCTTTTAATCGCTATTGCAGGTCTTCTCTGGGTCTTAGTTTCCTCATTAGTGAAGTGAGAAGGTCGTATGTGGGAAAGCAATTTCTATAACAACCTCTGTGTCTAGCATTCCCTTGAAAAATCTAGACACCTTTTCCTCCTTTGAAAAATTCGCCATTTTATTCCAGACACCCCCACCCAAGCTTGACACGAGTCCACTTGGGCCAATTAACCAGCGTGAAAAAAATTTGTCCCCCAAAAGAAACAATTTTTTAGAAATAAAAAGGGGGTTACTTAGATTTTTCTTTGGTCAGAAAGCCTACCCACAAATCTAAAAAGGGGGTCCACTGTTTGCCTTAGGACATTATGGGGAAAACTTAACTTGAATAATGTGCTCCTTCTAATTTAGTCACAAAGTGAGGCAAACACAGAACCTAAGAAGAACCTAAAAAGAATAAATAAATACGTTGTGAGCAATTGTACTGAATATATACATTTCTTATTTAACAATCTTTTGTCTACAATGATGAGAATACTACTTAGAAAGCAATTTTTATAAAATAGACTCTGTTAAGTATTAATTATGAAGTGAATCATCACTTTAAAATATCAGTAAACTTATAAACAATTTAAAGAAAGTGATATATATATATATATATATAACCTAAACTGAGATTATTTGCATATGACATGCAGGAAGATGCTTTGGATGAAATACCTATTTGTCTTTATTGTTTCTCTATTCCAGACTTGGTCCATTTTCATTTGAAAAACAAATGGAAAGACAATACCAATAATCATAGCGGACACCGCATTTATTATCAGAAGTGCATCTAATCTTTTAACTGATGTCTGTTAAGTAACCGCACGGACGAACTTGACCCCCGTGCGGAGCCGGATTAGCTCGGACTCTGGAGACCAGCGCCATTTCACCTGCTGGTCCCGGGCACTCAGAACAACACCCAGCAGGGCTCACCACCAACTGCTGACAAGCCCTGAAAACTTCTCATAAAATTAACCAACGTTTTGCAAGAATAGTGTTGGCTTAACCACCAAGGATTGAACACCACTTTAATTAGTAAAAAGGATTCAATTAGATGTTGTTTTTCTCAGCACTTCGTGATGCCTTAACTCATTTTAAAAACTTTGAAACCACGTATCTTCACACAACTGTGGTGTAGTCATTACAAAGACCAGGTAAATCTCTGGTTCTTTCTGTAATAAGTAGTGGACTAATTGACAGAGAAATTCATCAGTTTCTGAGATATGCATTTATGTTAACCACAGACCAAAATATTGAAGCTAATGTAAATGCATATATTATAAAACCCGTTTATATTAAATCCCAATAAATGCTAAAAATTTTTAATAAGTTTGTTAAAGATTGTCAAGTTACAGGGTTCAGACTTGCAAAGCAAAATAAGGACTGTGTCCAGCCATAAATTTTCTTTAAACCCATTCATCCAACAACTTTCCCCTGTTGGGTTAGACGATTCAGGACCCTAACTAACTCCACTGCCTTCAGAGTCTAATGTATTATAAACTCGTAACTCTGTAAGGCTTTAATATTTTTAATCCCAGAAATACATATTTTAGAATAAAACAGGCTGTTTTAAATCATCTTTGGGTTTAGCAACCAGATCACACTGCTGTGCCCCAGTGAAATCAATACACTATAGTACAGTTCTAGTGTATAAGACCTTTACTTAGAAACTAGAGTGAAATCTCATTCATTGTTTTTTCAATTGCAAGTGTAAGGACTAGTATGAGTGCGGACACTGGTTTATTTTCCCATCGTGTGACGATTCAGGCCAGTGTCTCCTGTTAAGCATTAATAGACAATTCCATCCTTTGGGATGTTTATTAACTGACAAGAATGCCTACAAGTAGGTCTAAGTCAGTATCTCGCTTCCCACTATGCAAACAACGCCTGCCAACTTGGTTGAACGCATACCAAATTTTGCAGTACGACCATCTAAACAACCATAAAGCCTTCAAGACATTTCACCAGAAAGGACAAACAGAAACCACATACGATCATCACGCTTGGCTATTTCTCACAACACTTGGCTTTATAATAACAGGAAAGCTTCTTTCTCCATCACTTATGCACCGCGGTACAGGGATGTTTGTTTAAAAGTGGCTCAGGTACGTAAGCAGATTGGAGAGAGAAAACTCTCCACTACAGGGGTAGAAACTTCCTCGGTCTGAAATCCTTAGAACTTTACGGAAAAGAAACCAATCTCTAACCCTGAATGTTACAATTGGTGCCTCTTGAGTTGGCATTTCACCTTCGCTGAAGACAGTCTGAGTGTCTCTATTTTTGAATACATAGCTGACTTTAGGAGACTCGTGTCCACATATGTTGTGACACGCAGAAGAAGAAATCGTATGTGTATCTCTTCCTCCGCCGAGAGGCTCTTGCTAGGCAGATGCTTGGATTCCAAATAACACACAGAACCAGCAGAGGGCAGAGCGACGGGCAGAAGGAGCAATCCCGCCGGTGACCCAGGTACTCAAGGTAGAAAGCAAACTTTGGATGGATTCCACTTTCACAGACTCTACTCTTGATCCTTGGAAAGGTAGAAACGAAGAAATCCACATAACTGGCATAACTTCGTCAAAGTTCAAACAGTCCTCCCGGGGCTCGGACCGCCTGGTCCGACCCTGGAGGGTCGCAGGGAGGAAGGAGCCAGCCCGCGCGGCCTGCTCCTGCTCCAGGTGAAGGCCAGCGCGCGGGGCAGGCACACAGACCTGGTTTCCAAGAGCCCGGCCCCCGGGAGCGCCAGCTCCCACTAGGGAGAACGCCGATCTTGGCACCCACCGGGGCCAGACTCAGGTTTCCGCTAAAGCCTGCGCATTTGGGCTTGACACTTTCTTTCGCCCTCAGCCAATCCTCGCCACCCTCCTTCTGCGCCTTGCCCTTTGAACAAAGCTGGCTTTTCTACTCCCCGCGGCTGGGGCTCCCTGCTCTCCAAAGGCGCTCCACCGCCAGCCGCGTCTGCGGCACCTAACGGACCGCTCCAGCCACACGCCTGGGAGGGAAAGGGCGGGGTAGGGGCGGGAGGAGACGCAGGGCGGAGGGAAGTGGCTCTCCCTCCTTGGGTACTGACAGGGCTGCCGTCTTCCCGACAGGTCTGCTCCTCGACTATTTGCTGGTGCCACGTAGGAACTTTCCCTTACCTCTCTCCTCCCGCCCCAGCTCTCGCCCCCTCCCCTATCCCTCCTCCCCCAGCCCATTTGCTTGGCCGGTTTCACCACTATCCATGAGAACTGCACGTCCAACCTGCAAGAAGGGAAGGGGGGGGGTCATCGTGGAGGGGAGGGGGCTGAAATTCGGGGAAAAGCGTTCCCCAGGTCTTCAACCCCATTCCTTATAACCTGCCAATTTCTTCCCCACTTAAAATCTCATCAAAATGCCACAAACACACACAAAGTGTTCTCAGTCTTCTAGATTCACCCCCTCTTTGCTTTCTCATATCCCTAAAAAGTAAAACAGCCCCTTTCTCACTTTATTCCAGACAAAGAACTTTATCAAGGTTCATTTTATACCCTTTCTCTATATTTTCGGCTCAGTTCACCCCTAGAAAGATATTTCCATTGGCTAGAATCTGGAGAAACCAGAAGATGTGTTCCATCCCGTAACAAAAGCTCTTTACAAGTGCCCTTGTGTTCGAGGTAATATTTTTCCTCTTTTCAAAGACGCTGCAAAGCGGCGAGGGGCATTTCAGCAGGCTGTGTGCCTGGCGGACCTTTTTTCCCTGCTACCTCTTCTCCCATTACCGTCCCGCCTACATGGAGCTCTCTCTCCGGTCTGTACTTCCAACCTGGTGGCAGCTGCAATCTGGATTTTATTTAGGAGAAAATTTTTTTTTGGAGGCGGGGAGGGGGGCCTCCAGGGGGAGGGGCGCAGAATGAGCCAGACCGACAGCCATCGCCCACCTCCCCAAGCCCCTGTCTCCTTACCTCCTCTGACCTCTCGGGGCTGGAAGAGGAAAGTGAGCGCGAGGGTTGTTACGGTGAGATCCCAGAGCCACCGTTTCGTCTTCCACCTGAAGGACCACCGCTCCATCTCCGAGCCCCGCACTCGCGTCTGGGCGCTCTACCCACGAGATCGCGACGGCACCCCGACTTCGTCCCGGCCGAGGTAGTAGCGTCGGGGATGTTTGCTACACAGCCATTGGGGAGGGAGCGGGGAGCAAAAAAAAAAAAGAAAAAAGAAAAAAAGAAAAAAAAATAAAGGGCTTTTTTTTCTTTCAGATTGGATGGCGTGCTTCCTTCCTGTCTCTCGCCCCCTCCTCTCCCTGGCGCTCGGCCCCGCCGCCGGCCGGGACCCTCGATCCGTCCTCCGCGGGGCCCTGCGTTCAGACTGAGGGCGGATGAGGGGCTTCCAACAAAAATCGGAGAGGACTGCGTGCCCCTAAAGGCTTCATGCCGTCAGTGGGCCGGACGAGAGGCCCCGGGCAGCCCCCTCCCCCGCCCACGCCCCGCGCGCGCCCCCCTCCCCCCGGCCCCGCGCGAAACTGACAAGCCGGCCGCGGGTCCGACCCAATCACACGCCTCGCGCGCGGCCCGAGCCCGCCCCGCGCTGGCCCGGCCCCAGGACCGCGACTCCGGGCAGGCCCGGCCCACCGACCAGCCCCCCGCCGCCCCCTGCCCGCCTCCCTCCGCCCCGGCCCGAGCCCCCGAGAAGGGGTGGGAGGGAGTCAGGGGGGCGCGTGCTTGGCTCCTGCACTTTGGGAATGAAAGGAATGGCTGGAGAGCCCCGGAGCCCGCAGAGCTTTCAAGGAGCTTCTGTATTCAGTAAAAACAGCTACTTGTCTGCTTGCACCGTCTGCTCGCCGCTCGGCCGTCGGCGCGGCGGGTGGGGGGCAGGGGCGCGGCGTCGGATCCGCCGCACCGCTGGAGTCCGGGGCTGGCTGCCGTAACCTTATCCCTGGGCAAAAATCTGCAGCCTACAGCCGACCGGGAACGGGCGTACTCGCGGCTCTGCGTACTCGGAAAACTGTTGCTTTTTTTTTTAACCGGCAATTAGAAGAAAGGGATAAAGGTGAGCTAGAGGGACTCAAAAGGTTGACCCTGGTGACCTTACAGGGAAGCTCTGCTTTAGGATCTGAAACGTACGGGCTGTGGTCCTCAAGGTCTCAATTCTGCAGGAACTGGACTCCGGGGCAGGAGGAGAGAGAAAAATGCATGGAGCTGACCTGAAGGCGGTGGGCAATTTAATTTTCCAGCCGATTCTGGCCTGATCCCAGAGGAGAGGGAAAAGTGGGAGAGAAAACCTCAGGAAGGCAATCAGCAGAGAGCTCCAAGCGTCTCCAGGCCTATGTCCCCTCAGAAAGGATCTCAGGAACTGAAGACAGGGCCGCCCCACAGTGAAAATAAGGAGGGGTGGGTTTCTGAGCTCCTTCTACACCTTTCCTCAAAGTTAGTCCACTGAAACCTGCAACGCAGTTTCCCTGGTCACTTTTTCCACGTTTAAATCCTTTCCTCCTGTTAGCTCCTTCTTCCTCAATATTTCCTCAGGTGTCTCTCTCCGCAATGCTCCGGAACAGAGCCGCGTTGGGTGCCAGCAAGACTTGGCCCTCCATAGTGATGTGTTCAGGGGATGAATCCATCCTCCTGTTGGCAAAGACTAGAAACTTTGGCCAGGACCTATGCTGAGTAGTTAGGAGAGTTCAACGTTTAAGAGTTACCACCTAAGTTTAGGAGACACCCAAGTCCACTCATCTTTAGAAACCCAATATTCTATTAGTTAATGGAACTAGACTCATGACCCATCTGATGAATCAAATGCTCCATTGATGTGGCTTAAGAGATGAGAGGTGTTCAAAGACTAGATGAAGGCCCAGGATGGAATGGCTTAACAGCATGTATAGAATGCAAGGCATATAAAATGAAGGCAATGGAAAAATACCTTCAATATGACAGCCACTCTCTGTGACAAAGAACCGTTCCCATATCAAGAAGTTTACCTCCTAGATAACAGATAAAAACAAACAAACACCTTTATATTAGTAACTGCTACAACAATGTTAGGGATGCCTTATATCAGCTATTGAAAAATATCACCAACTAGCTTTTTAGATGAAAACCTCAGGTTGTTAGTAATTTAATAAAATAATTCAGTATCAGAGTGTGCTTGAAAGTGGAATATACAGTCACACAGAAGGACTTTGTAGCGTTAATACAGGTCAAGGTACCACCTTCTACTGCCTTCACTCTTCAAAATGAAAAATGCGTGTGTGTTTTTGCAGTTTCCACGCTTTTTTGAAGCATGATTTTCCCGTTCAATTCTTTGTCTATTTTTAAACCCATTCTGTAAGTCTTCCCTGATATGTAAGATGGTGTACTTGATACAAAGTTTGGAAATACGTAGTACGTGTGAGGTTGCCAAAATCAGAAACCAACTCAACAGCAAGAGAGAGTTACAGGGTTTGTAGGAACAGGTGAAATAGGGTTTCCAATTGTGTTCAATCCCTCTCCTGATTTATTGGGAATCTCATGGCCTGACACTGTTCTGGAAGGTGAGAAACCAGGCAGCCAGTCTAGCAAGCCCCACCTCTGGTCACATCTCAGGCCTCTCCCTGCGGTGAAAGGGTCCTTTCAGGCAAAGTGACTTGGGTGAATAGCATCATTACTCCCCTACCCTCTCTGCACTCTGTGGTCTGCATTCCTCTGGCCACTGCCCAGCTGGGCACCACCTGGGTCTGAATGAATGCCTCTGGCAGGAAATATAGTAGATTCATAGTGAGGAATATAAATTATGTCTAACCCCTCTAGCCTGAAGCTAGCAGCCAGATCTAGAGCCCAGGACCCTGCCCAGGGAGGTACAGGAGCTGAGTTCAGTGAGAGGAAGGAGAATCCTGAACAAGAAATGGAACGCAAGGAAGCTGGAGGATACCTCATGACCTTCAACTCGCCAGAGATTACCTTCCAAGGGCGTTTTTCTATACCACCCTTCAGCCAGTCTTTGTTAATATACATAGATTCAAAATGTAAAAGAATATGACAGCTTCCTGGCATAGCCTTAATTTGAAGCACGATTGGCTATATGACATTTCCTATGTCACCGCATTATAGACAGTGTTTAAAGGTATTTGGGCCGCTTTGTAGAATTCATCCTGACTGCAGGCCTTTCAAAAACAAGATGGAAACAGTTTACAGGGGAAAAAATAGTCTCTCTTGGTAGCTATATTTTAAATTTATTTGTCCATGATGGCTCGTTGGAGAAACAGAATATAATCTAATAATTGATTGGGAGGTCAGTGTACACACATGTGAATGTTTTAGACAGTCTTCAGAGTTCCTGGAACTTTCAGTAAACGTTGTGAAAAGCCAATGGATCCCCCTCTACATCTTCACAAACCCCGAGGAATTGGGGAATGTGAAACCAGTGTTTTACATATGGAGACCCCAAAAACCGATCTGGGACTGAGGAAATCTTGTCCAGAGCTGGACACCCCTCGAACAAGAGTAATAAAGTATTGGAGGTGAAGACAACTCTATTACAAAACATAAATCCAGGTAGAATTAGAGAGAAGAAGAAATTGGTTTAGAAAATTATATCATCTTTTAAATCATTTGACATTTACTTCTCTTTTCTCATGCTGATACACACACATGTGTATATATGTGTGTGTGTGCATGCGTGTGTGTGTGTGTGTGTGTGTGTGTAGCCTCTGGGTTGGCTTCTTCAAGCCTTTAACCAAGCTTTCATCTAAAGATTCTCTTTTATCGTGGAAATTGGGCTAATACCTCTGAAGCTCTGTATATTATTGTTGTCCCTTACATGGAGAGGCATTTTCTCCAAACACTTTACTGTAGGTAAAGCCATTGCATCAAATTTGACTTATTGAATGAGAAATAATTGCAGGGGTGGGAAACCCTCGCACACATCAGAAACATTTAAGACATTTCAAAGAAAATTGCTGTTGAACGTAATCCTCTCTTACTGTGCTTCATGGTTTGTCTTTCTTGCCCTTTTCTGAACTTGGGTCAATTATTTTAAGAAGAAATGACTAAGCAGTTGGACGTTTATTTTACAGTTTTTCTAATACATCAGTGGCTAGAAATTAGTCTCTGGTTAAGCATGGAGTTCATCCCTCTTACCTCACAGACCCGCCATTGTTCACCCTGGAAAGTGGGGGTGGGGAGGAGACGGGGGAATTTATTTCCACAGTGCAGGCCAGCTCACCAGTGACCCCACACTGATGATGAAGTGCCAGCCCCTGTGCTGTGAAATAACATCCAGCACAAATTTAGCCCCATTTCCATGATAAAACAGAGTCATTACATGGAAAGTTGGTCTGTTGAAGTGTTGAAGAAGTCAACTCAGTGGAGACGACAGACCCGTCCTGCTGGAAATACCATAAAAGTCTGTTCTAAATGACCCCAAACAAGTGAGCAACACAGCCCTTTACACTCCGGCGCATCTCCCTCTAAAATACCCTTTTACTTACAGGAAGCCATCACGGTCCTTATAAGTAATTGTCCTAAGCGGGAAGGGAGGCACGGTGAACAAAATGATTCAGGGTTAAAAACAGGTACTTTTGGACATTCGTCAAGATGTTTTTGCTCTCTGCATCCTTTTTTCTCCTTAATTGAATGGGTTTGGCATTTCGTGAGCTCGTGTATGTGAGCAAAAATGTCACAGGACTTGTTACGAAAGGGTGCTGAACGGGCTCAACATCTCTATCAGCAGAAGTTGAAGGTGGACTTTTAAGACATTCAGTGAACCACGTGCCATGGTCAAGGGCAGTGGCACCGACGATGCATGCCCATGATGTCTCACTGCACGTGGCGTTCCAGCTGTCCCCCGAGTGACGATTATCTTTATTCACACGAGCTGCTCCTAATAAAATAAAATTGCTGAAGTTAAGGGTTATAGCTACTTTCAAGGGATTATTTACTCTTATGAATTTTCTCATAACAATTTTACAAATACTCTCTAAAATTTCATTTTGGTAGTAAAATAAGAATATAGAAATAGACGTCTTTGGACACTTATTTTTTCATAAAATGAACGATAAAAGGGAACAAGGTGACCACATATATCATTGCACCTTTTGAAATAACTAGAAGCCTCCTTCACCT